TCCTCCCTCGCATTGAAAAGCAACAAAATTGGCTATTCTCTAAGCGACGAGGTAGTGACGTAAACTCTACTGTGACCTACGCGTGGCATTTATGGACTCAAGGCGCAATCAATAATTTCACATTTCAATCCTTTGTGTGGAAGAATAGTCAATTTTTAGCTGGTACATTAATTTCATAATTCAGGTATTTATCACACACACTGTTTGTACTGTGTCCCAGTGCCTATAAATATCATTCAGGAGAAACATAGGAGAAAAGATCTTGCATTACTTATGATCTTATATTAAAAGTAGTGATATTATTTTCATTGCCATGGAAATTCAAAGGTATTGATGATCTGAAATGCAGTATGCTCTCAGCTATTCAGTATCAGATGATATTAGAAAATCTTCGATTATGCTAAAATATAACATACACATTATTTTTTTCTTTGTTTGAATTAGATATACAGTATAATATATATATATAATGATAGTACAATAATAGTGTAATATGGTAATAATGGGATAAACAATAATATCATACACTTATGATAATGCACCAGAATTACTCCCTACTCTATATATCAATATCCGCTATCAATTTACCCCATGGCCTTGTATTGGCAGATTTACAATTCTTTTGTCCAAGCGTGATATCAATTTATTCTTAATCGGCATGATGAAAGTTTGTGGATTGTGAAATTGATAAACGGATGATTGATGCTTTGGATATAGGTCCCTGCTCGTCGTTCTGTGTGTCTTTAGATGCCTTTATGATGGTTTGTTGTGATTATTCATGCATATTTGAACAGATGGTTATGGATCTTTCCATGGATTTCCTTGTCTCAGACATGATCAACTTTTGCATATGATCTGTTATTCTGTTTGGAGCCAGATGGGCGTTAATTCTGTGTTCAAAGATATGACTCAATGCCCTTTTTGCTCTGAGCAAAGGATTTTAAGCATAACGTAGTAAGTTGTATCCCAAACGTACAGAGCAATTTTTATTGTAATCTGTGAACAAATAAGAAGGAAACCTGTGATTGGTCTCCTTTAAAGTAATTCTTCATTACGAAACTAATGTGAGTAATAATAGTTGCTTCTTGTAGGTGCTCATATCTAACAATACATCTTGTTAATGGTACTTAACAATGTTATTTTAAACCACACAGTGTGTGATAAATGGATATAGTATAAAATCATATACCTATATACATGTTTAAGTCCTATCCTAGAGACTTCAGAATTTGGGATTAATGCTACATCTAAGAACATTTTAAGCATGTTGACTTGGGTTCTGAATCCACTTGCTACCACTCCCAATCACAAGACCTATGCGCTAGTACCACTGAACCATGAAACTCCCTGACTTTTTATCGTTCAGATGCATAAGACAAGGACATTTATTCATGAATGTAGCAACACTATAGTGAGATAGACGCACTTCCTTAACATATATGATCTTATGCCCTCAGCATCGAGTTGTATTACATTATTACGAGGTTGAGAGGGAAATTTGATACGTTTCTTGCCTGCATATTTCTTCCTGTTAATGTATCATGCATACACATTTATTTTCATTCTCTCTATTGACTTTCACACTGTACATTGACTATTGCGATCCGATTTTCTGACATTGTAGAATTTGCATCTTAAAGGTAAAGACCAGTATTGGAAATGCCCCAATTTCAAAAAATGAAATGGAAGCTCTTAATACCAATCATGTGAAAGAATATGTTTAGAATAATACATGATGATTAAAATTTTGCCGGGAAACCGCCTACTAGTTGATATATTTTGTAAATTAGTTTATCGGTGTGTGAGAGATAAAAACGCACGTGTGCGTAGTCCCATAAACATCTTTCTGTGTACAGTGCTTGTAACTTTATGAAGACTGGGCCAAATTTCTTATCATTTTGACGATTCCAAAACCTTGCAGTACATCTATGCTAGATGATCAACCTTTACTGATCGATTTCACAACGTTTCTTTCACAATGCAATCGCATGACAATAACTGGTCTTTATCTTTAATATTCACAGTAATCGGGCAATAAAAAAACCCTATTTTTTATCACCTTTATTTCATGTCATATACTCTTTTCACACTGGTTTTGCTTAACCCCGTACTTTGCTTAGCCCCGTACTATCCTTAACCCCGGACTATTTTTTTTTGGCTTTTCACACACGCTTTTTTTAGTCCCGTACGAGCGCCTATTCCGGAAAAAGAAAATTCCTACTGTTCTCACTGCATTTCGTTAACCCCGGATATCGTGTATGTTATGATTGGACATACTTCGCATCTGGCCAGCTGCGATACGCTCCATTGCGTAGTACCGGACTATTTTTCGTTTCTGTTCTCATTCATTTGCTTAGCACCGCAATTGCGGGGTTAGCAGGAGTTAGCACCACAATTGCGGAGTTAGCCCTGCTATTTTGCAGGGTTAGTTAACCCCGTACTATAGGTGGGGTTAGCCAACTTTAGCCCACTTTGGTAAAAACCAGTCTGAACAGAAAGTGGAATAGGCTTAACCCCGTACTATAGGTGGGGCTAAGACCCCCCCTTAACCCCACCTATAGTACGGGGTTAAGCAAAATATTGCCAGTGTGAAAACAGTAATAGAGGACTATATGTGTGTGAGTGTTAAGGGGGGGGGGGGGTCTTCCATGTACTGTACAAACTACAATTCCACATCTGTAATGTGACTTAAAATTTAAGTGGTATATTCATCTTCACACAATTGATAATTCAGTTTTAAAGATCATGTTATTGATAAGATGATTGAATAATAATAATAATAATAATAATTGTGATTTATATAGCGCATAATAATCATCCAAGACAATCCTCTACGCCCTTTACAGTAAAACAGTAAATAGGGTCATGCCATGTCAAATCACCCGATGGGTTTCATCCAACAATTTTTTATTTTGGTGTACTTCTTGGGTGTTAACTCACACCACCAAATCTCAAATTGTAGGTCAATCGGGTGAGGGGTTTAGGAGATACTTAATCTTTTCATGATTTTGATAAAATACTTGTGATTTGGAAAATGGATATTGTGTCATGATGGTCATGATGATCATCAAACGTGGAGCTGAGAAGAGAGCATTTTATCGTGACTTCCTCTCTCTACCCGAGGGTAGAGGCATTCCTGGGGTCTGTCCACTCTGTTAGTGGTGGACAGGTGGAAGGCACCAAGAGGAAGTGCTGTAGGGGGTTTGGAATTTGGCTTCTGTTGTGTCACCCCACAGAACTCAGAGGGTGATGACAGGATATCGGTAATGTAATATAGAAAAAATAGAACCCGAAGGCAGGGATATGGAGAGAGAGAGAAAGAGAGAGGAGAGAGAGACAGAGACAGAGTCAGAGAGAGAGATAGAGAGAGAGAGAGAGACAGAGAGACAGAGAGAAAGGGGGGGGGGGGCGTTGATGATGAGTAGGTCACTCAATTATGGCATCTATTTTTATCTTTAGGTGGTCGCAAGAATTGGTTTATATTGGAATAAGGGCAATTATTATTTGAAGTAGGAGTCTGATCCAGTTGGCCGGAAAAATATAATAGCGGAGGTGAAAATGCTGGATAATTTTGCTCAGAGAAAAAAAAATGGAGATTGAGATTTAGTAGGCCGATATATGCAATGAGAGTTAGAGCAAGTAGGTCCATGGTTAGAGAATGGAGGAGAAAAGCATATTTTATTATTTATGCAAGTGTCATTTGATTGAGTTCTAGGTTCCAATTTGCTTTGGGTGATATTTAGGATAAGCCTTTGTTGATGTGCAGCTTGACGGCATAAAAAATATTCATATGAAAACTCCTTTTTATATATTTCTTTATAATAAGGTGTGAGGTTTTGTCATAACAATGTAATAAACAATTAGCTCATGTATAATTCCTGGACTCGTCGTTGGAAATTGTTTGAAGAGAAATGTACCCGGCAATCTCAGGTTCTCCTGCAGCTGGCCAGCCTTGATTGAACAGCCCCTTTCAATTTCACCATATATATTACATATGAACTCAAGACATGGCACCAAGATCAATGAAGTTTTCCTCTTAAAAGCCTAGGTGTATTATAGGGATATAGGTTGGCATTAACATCAACATGATTAAGAAAGAAAGCTAAGGTGTAACATGACATTAAAACTGGAAGGCATCGTGCCAACTTGGCACACAAACAAGCAGTGAGAGAGACTCCTTTTTATAATTAGATTTAGGAGAACATGTCCTTTCTAGCGATTCCAAAAAGAAAGACCTTTTCATTCGGGCGTAACCACTGACTTTTTTCTCTAAATCAACAAGGGTAGAAGTGTACCAGTTCTTTGTCTGTCTGTTTGCAGTGAGCAAACGTTTGGATAATACCCGCCTTTTTGTAAGCTCCACTTTTTCTTAACTTTTCCCAGGGAGTGATTTTTGTTGGGTGTCATTTGTTAGTGTGAAAACGGTGCCAGATGGTATGATGGTGTGTATTGTATTACTGTGAACGGTAATAAATTATTTATGCTCTTTGAGATGAATGTGAATGAGCGGATTGTGTTTGTAGTGGCTAGTGAAAAGATTGTACTTTACACCTCGTTGAGCAGGAGAATTAGAAAAGCTACTATTTACCCTTTTTAATGCCTCTCCTGGATGGTAGCGAATTCATAATTATCTTTTATTAAAATATTGGTAAAAATTACGAGCCCGTATTGAGCACAAGAAAGGCAGCTCAGGAGAGAATTTCATTTTTTTTCTTCTTTGAAATCACAGAGAAAATGTTCTACTTGAGTTAAATGCAATTTATCTACATGATTTAACTTGTGTTTATTTGTTTGTTTGATTTTTGAATTCATCCTACTTCTACTCTCCATTTTGATTCTACTATTGAGAGTACTCCTACCATGTATACATCTTCATACTCTTATGCTATCCTTGTTATATTAATAACCCTTGGTGTCAAATAATTGTCAATGGTGTAATTGAAAAAAAGATAATCACTTGCAACCAAGTAGGCCCGATTATTAATCTTATTTTCATTGTTTCTTATTTCCCCCTTTTATTTACAGTTTGAGTAATGACCTACAGCTGTCGGATGAAGAAAGTGACAATGAGGAGGTAAGCATGCTTAAATAAGATCATATCGAGGGTTCAGTGACTCAAAGACGTAACTCCATATTTTGCCAAAATGAGTATTTGATATCAGAATGTTCAGAAAACTGGGGGCTTTCCAGGAAACACAAAGACTTAACTCTACCCAATCCCCCATTGAAGTCAATGGCTAGTGAAACATTGACTTAATTTAACTCCTTAAGGCCCAAGTGCTCAGTGACACATAAACCACTTTTTCTCAAAATAGCAAAAATGAAGTTACGTCTTTGTGTCACTGATCCCTCGATTTTAGATCATTTTGACAGGGTTGTGCCTGCAAATTAGTGAGCTCATATGGGGTGGGGGGGGGGGGGGTATACTGAGGGGATTTAGGTCACAAGTTTGAAGTAGGTCTCCTTCAAACGGCGGCAGTCTAAATTCAGCAACACTTGTTCACGTCAACCACTTCAAAAACAAATCGACACATGGAAGTGGGCTTAATGAATTAATTGCTTAATCAAATTTAATCCTGATCCTTTGATAGTGTACAACCTTGATACTCTGTCTCCTTTGCACTAAATTCCCTAATTATACAGTGTGATGTCCAAACACAAAGCTTCCTTCCTGTACATTAGGTACATCAAACGTCGGTCACCGGCGTCCATATTAAAGTTCATGGTAAAATTAACAAGTCAGGTACAGTAGTTAAATCAAGCATTACTCTAATAAAATATATCACATGGTGATCCTGTAAATAATTTGCCCGTAAAAGACAACTTCTTAAGCTGTGCATTTCAAAAGTAACAGAATTACAAAATTCCCTCGAAACAATACTGAAGTGAAATCAAATTCATATTTTGTATCTACAATGTGACTTTGTTATTTAGATTTTGGTTCTTGACCATGCATGCCAAACAAAGGATGCTATTTATCGATTAGAATTTTGATGAAGTGATGTTTCACAATCATTTATAATTTTTAAGGCTTATTCATTATCATTTGCACAAAGTAATATCTTTAGTTCTAGTTGTTTTTTTGGAGAACTTTTTGTTATAAGAAAAGTTATGTATTGGAGTGGAGAGCTATGGAAAACTAAAAATAGCTGTGGAAGTAATAAAGAAAATACAACAATGAGGAAATTTCAATTTGTCTGTAGACATTAAAAAAAAAAGAAGATAATAAGGGCTTCCCACATTTTTCCCACTGTTTTTAAGGAAAGGGGGGGGGGGGGGAAGGAGGGGAGGGGTTCCATATTTAACATTTTTAAAGTCTGTATGCATGATCAATTTGTAATATAATTGACATTTGGGCGATCTGGGCCCCCTTGCATAAAACTTACCATTGATGGTAACTTTGCCATCAATGGCAACTGCCATGGGAACCTTGATTTAAATGGCTGTTGAGCCCTGTTACCATGGTAGTTGCCATTGATGGCAGAGTTACCATCAATGGTAAGTTTTATGCAATGGGCCCTGGACTTATATTTTAGGTGACTATATGTCCCAGGCACCTTGTACTAGTGTCAAGCTCTATATACCATTATTAGCGGTGGAAGTTTGTATATTGATCAAACTAAAAAAGATTCTTGATAGGTTGTTACAAAGTACTTCATAATAGCAAGAAATGTGTTCCAGTGAACTACACAGCGGAAGCCATTGATCTGTCACAGATTAAAACTGAAACAATAAAAGGGATTATCGTTTACTTGAAAAAAGCAGAGTAAAAGTAATTATGAGAAAGATCATTTCAAAGCCAAATAAATTGTGATCATCACTTGGAAATTAAGTATTCAAGAGACAGTTAAACGATATTGGGACCCTGAAATGATAATTAACTTAACACCTAAAGGGACTGCCAAGTTAATGGCATTTGGAACAAAATTGTTGGGAAGCCCTTCTTATTAATTATTGATGGTTTTAGTAAATGGCACTGAATTATGCATGGTTGTGCTTTAATCAGCGGAATCCCAACAAAATTTTTAAAAATCTTGTTAAAAATCATGCACACTAGACTACTAGCTAAGAATTATAAAACTCTCTGTATTACTGGTCTCAGGCATTCATGTCGATGTTTCATCAATGTATAAACAGAATTGGTTCAAACTATTTGTCATTTACAATTGTTTGTTATCGAACAGAACACTTTTTTATGGGTGAGGGGGCATGAACATGCTGCTAGAATCTCTATAATTGAAATGGTAAAACCATTTCCCATTATATTGGAGGAGACCAATTAAAAATAATTGTTATAGACACTTGGTATGAAATTGTGCAGGTATAAAATTGTGCAGGTTGTTGTGCACCTTGGCTAGTTGGTAATACTGACTGTGCTTGGCTTTTGTGAAACATTCAGCCCATACACATGGTGATCCATAAGTACTATGGATAAAATAATTGTCATATTATTTAGAATCCCTTTTCATATCAGACTTGGTCTGCACTCAACCTTCTCGTCAAAGCAGGACAAGATTGATAATAATAATAAATAAATAATAATTAAACTGGTGCTTATAAAGTGCTTACCACCGAAGTCTAATAATGTTACATCTATAAGCGCATTTCATTAGTTATAAAGCACATAAACAAGAAATATTCATAGACAAACAAAGAAGAAGTGCAGAGCAAAATGATGCTGATACTGTTCATACATTATTAGCTCTTTAGGCTGCATCAAGTCCAAACCTGACCCTTTTGGCAGTGAGTATGAAATTGGTATCAGAAACGGGTATAAAACAGTCTGATCCCTTAGCCTAGCATGGCTACATAAAATCAGGGTTGGGAGGAAGTTGGATATATGAGGTGGAAGGGGTTTTGACGAGCAAGCGAGCGACTTGCATTTCAGGCCACATTTCCCAAGATTCACCGCAATTTGCACTAATAATTCCTGATTGTGATGTCATCCCGTTCAGATAGGGTTATGCATGCGTAGATATTGATGGAAACAGGCCAGAGCATGTCGTGTACACAAGGGGGAACCTTGTTTTCATATGTTCAGCGTAGTTAAATCATGGAGGAAATTTGTCATCTATCGGGCTGAATAAATTGGCTTTTTCTCTTCAAGTTGGCAACATTTACATGATGCCGTAAATTTAATACTGAACCTTTTTAGTGAACATTTCAATGATTGAGAGTTTAAATGTAATGGAATGAGTGGAAAAACCCAATCAAACTAACAAAACAACAACGTTACAAATTACAATCGAAACTTGGATAGATATTACTTTCAATTAGTGCCTGGTACATTGAAAATGCTTCAAATGATACATGAAGATATATAATGATTGGTTTGGATTGTTGGGATCATTCAAAGAATCGAATAATACTTGTGAGAGTATTTCAATTTATGTAAGAAAAATTTATAATTTTGTGGATGAAATTAAATGGCAAAACAAGAGTGATACAAAGATTCATATTTAGGACTTCTTACATTTTGTTCCCTTTTTGCTGGTAACTATAGATTGCTGAAGAGAGTAATCATTGTGTTTCTTAAAGAATTACAAGTCTTTGCAGGTTTACTTACGGGGTCAAAATCATGTTGAAAGAAAAGTGCATTAGACATCCATCGCTCTTGTCACAAAATGGCTTTACATATTTATATCCTTCATAAAATTGACACAGTCAAATCTGTGGATCATAAATCATTTCACGGGAGTTGATATGAGAGAGGGTTAAACGAGGAATGTCGATGATTAATGCCCGCCTTTCCTGTTTAGTTCCGGATCACAGCAAGTAAGCTAATGCATGATGTAAAAGTAGTAGCATATCCAGGCAGCATGTGTAATCTGTCTGCTTTTGAATAAGAAATGAAATGGTGTAATTTTTTAATGTTAATGGCTTTAGTAGTTTTTTACGACAAAGATATTGACAAAAATATAAGAGAAGCAAGCATTAAATCAAGCTCCCTTCAAACTGATTCATGAATAATTTTCATTCTTTGTTATCACCATGGTAAACAGTGTAACAACAACATAATTAACAACTTGCATGACATTTAATATTCATGGTAAAATTATCTAGATATGGTAAGAAACAGAAATTTACCTGTTGATGAAAAAAAATAATTCTAGGAGTAAAACATAAATGTCTGTTGCAAACTGAATGGGAAATTACCACAGCGCAATATATGTGAATGCCAGCTTAGCTATTAATCATAAGTATGATACTTCGTTTTTATGCTGATGTGTTTTTCATGCATTAATCAAATATATATTTTGACACATCCTGAGTTGGGGTTTTCAAGTGTTTACATGCGTGTTTTTCAATCCTTCCTTATTGTCCAGGCTATGATATGGACCAGATATTTCCTCATCATATTTTGTCAACAAGTAGTGGTGAACTGTCAACCCCCCCCCCCTCTCCCCCCCCCCCTCCATTTGAATGGCATCATTAGGCAATCTTTTTTGTGTGTGTGGGCTAACAATTTCATAGAAAAAATAGATTGTTTTATGTACTTTATTTATTCAAAAACAAGTTTGAGGTAAAAATATAAAAATATTGATTCCTAGAATATTGCCTGGGAACAAGACTGATTTGTTCATGATTAAGCCAAGGGATTATTTAGGAAGAGGGTTGATTTGAAGGGAAATTCCCCAGATTAATTGTCAGAGCCACTGGTATATAATTTTGTCTTTTATTGTGTTTGAAAGAGGAAAGATTATGGTAAATATCCCTTGCAGCAAATGCTTGAAAGCCAATAAAAAGCTTTCTAGAGCGCTACTCTGTACAAGTATTATGAATTTTATTCATTGCCTCTAATTGATAAATTTGGAGAATGCATTTGTGATATAATAATTTTTATGAAGCGAGATTCCCTCAAGTTAAAAAGTTTCTTTTCTTTTTATTGAGTTGATTAATTCAGTTGCAATCCAGGTAACTTTTTTATGTCTTGGATTTGAGGCATCCTCCCCCCTCCCCACCCAACCCCCACCCTACCCCCACCCTACCCCCACCCTACCCCCACCCTACCCCCACCCTACCCCCACCCCACCCATTAATCTCCTACTTCTCTTTGTATGGTTTCAATTTAACAGAACTGCACCAAATAATTACATGATATTGATCCTTTTAGTTTTATGTTAAAGTATAGGGACATTAATTTTGACATCATTTGTAGTTTGACGAACTGAAAAAAACGGTTATTTGATATCGATTTTGTGTAATGCGATATATTTAACATGAAGTAGTGAAACAGATAGCTCTTCAGTAATGCTATGGTAATTTGTAATTATGGTGTTAGAGTGAAGACTACCGGAGACTGGTCAAATTAGCAAGGGCAACTTCTGTATCGAAATAGACCTGTCTCCCCCTTTATGATAGTGGTAATAGCCCACTTACTTGAATCCAGTTGTGTGGGGTGTCTGTGTATGTCTGTGTGTGTCATTGAATATAGAGACACTGGGTGATAAATCTCTGGCTGTGTGTGTGTGTGTGTATGAGAGAGTGTGTATTTTGTAAGTATGGCTGCCATATTATTTGCATACGGGTTGTGTGTGTGTGTGTAACTTGAGGCCAGCCATTAGTGAACCTTATCTCATTGTCCTGTATAGCACTACAAGCCTATACAGCTGAGTGTGTGTGTGTTTGTGTGTCCATAGGCCATCCATCCACCAGCCACCAAAATCAGAGGGGGTGATAAAAGAAATAGGGAAAAAACTCAAGTATGTTGTGAGTGCATGCATGCAAGGCAATGCCCGATCCAGTATATACAGTTGTCGGAACCGAACCTGGCATGTGTTTGTGTGCGTGAAATAGACAGGGGAGAGAAAAATACATCAAGCGCAGGATCATGATTGCATGCCTTCATGCTGCGGCTGTGTACATGGATCCGTCGACGACTATCCATTCATTTGAATGAGATCGAACTAAGCACCAGCTACCTATAAACATGAACGCTCTTCTGTTTTCTGCTACCATGCCGTCCTTTCACTGGATCTCTGCCCCTCTTTGCCTTTCTGAACGGAGTAACCACAATCCTGGACCCTATTACTGGATTTATAATCGGAATTAACCAGATTTAAGCCGGCCTACAGCCTCGTCAGCCTTGCATTGTCTAGAAAATATTACCAGGAACCCTCACGACCCACTTGCATGGGCTGCTAAAGGGGGAAGGGAATAAACAAAACTCGACCCGATCAGGGAGAGAAGCTGTGTTGACATTTTTACAATGACAGAGCTATAATTATATGCAATATATCATACAAACTTCTGTGTCAAGAAAGGCAAAAGGGACAAGAAGTGCTCAGGACCTGCTTTACCTTGGGTACTTAACTCTTTGAATTCCATAAGATAAAGAGTATGTGGAGAAAAAGCGTGTTTACCCAATTGCTAGTAGTATCTGTATTGAATTACAGCATGAATAATAATGCTAATGATGTCTGCTTGTATACGATGTACAGTAAGCGTGTATGTGTGTGGGTGTGTACGTGCGTGCGTTTGTGTGTGTGAGGTCACAACAAGGACTTATGATGTTGCTTTATGTTGTCTCAAGGTCAATAAGATGCTAGATGTCTGAAGCATGATTTGATGTCATTCAACCATTTGTTTTATGATTACTCAAATTTTCTTATTTTATTTTTTATTTTTTTTTAAAAGCCTTGGCATTGTTTCCCGAAACCTTCATTAGTATGAGTTCACCATCATCCCATTGAAGCATGTAAAATTTAGTTATTTATTTCAATGGTTGTCAGCAAACTTGTACTTTGACAGTTTCAGAGATACCAAGCGTGACGTCACACATTTCGAGGGTATGAAAACGCTCTCACGCACGATGCGTGTGCAAGATTTAGAAAAAAAAACGCTATACATACGATATACCCTCGCTCGCGTGCTTAGTCATGGAAATGTCCCGCATAGCTGATCTTTGAACTTGGCGTCTTTGCAGTTTGCCCTGGTGTTTTTTACAATTTGTGGAAAAGGGATAAATGCAATTATTATGTTTCTAATTTTTGTGCAAGGTTTGCTTTAAAACTAAAAGATTTTTTGTTTATTTTAAATAAGACTTTCAATATATTTGGCATGTTTTAGGTATGTAAATCAAGGGGGGGGGGAGGGGGAGGTCTGATGTTAAATATACCCATGACAACATTAATTTTTTTTATTTGGAACAAAAATCTCAACATGAGCAATGGTCGTATCAAAGATATATTTTTATTTTCAAATTTTAAAAAAATGGATAAAAGACTTCACACCAACATTTTCCAGAATCGCAGACAATAATGAAATTCTGTTATATGGTTTCTTGTAATTAATGACTAAATTCACCCTGAATATTACCAGTAGGTTGTTGTTTAACTTGGAAAGATGGATTGAATGACACTGAGCTATGGCTTCACTTCTTGTCACTTTTCCATTATGTTTTTTTAACATTCAGTATGAGTTTCATTTAATTCTGTGACAAGTCATTTCCTTTATTTAGCTACCAAAATTTAAGACTACCATAAGCTTATACCCATCACTTAGGGGGGGGGGGGGGTATATATAGCATAATTGTATACAATCATCTTTGATAAATCTTAAAATGGTGTTATATTGGTTACCGGAGAAGGATTTGGAGGAACATAAAGAATAACATAAGAATTAGCGTGTGGAACTCAGTCAGACTCAGCTTCTTTGCCGGTCATATTCCAATGTAAGCATGTATGGGTGCGTTATGTAGTCTACCCACAAGTCTACCCACAAGTCACTTTTTATAGTTAATTCAAAGTGTATTCAAACAGCAATATCTCTTTATACAGTGCATCCCAGAAAGAAAACGAAACCTGAAAACAAATGGTTTGATTGCATCAATCCACACATGCTTCATCAAGTAACGTTGGTTTTACAATGGCTTGTCAAAATCCATTTATGCCAGATTTTGGTAACACAGTGAAAACTTTAGTATTACATGTCAGAATGACGTTAGGGACATGTAAGCATTGAAAGATAATCATGCAAGATAACCTTTGTGTGATTATATGCATTTTCAAATAGGCAGTTACTAAAAATAGGGGGGAATACCCATTTCAGGGAAGACAGGGGCGTACAAACCTCAGATTTCCCCCAAATCAACAAATGTACCTTGACCAACAAAATAGTGCCCCTTTACTGATTGAAGTTGGTGCCCATCCTAAGAGGAAAATTACATTCCGGTATTCTGATGGATAATTTTCTGCCTCATGTGCCCTTTAGAATGCTAAAAGCACTGTTTATACATGTAATAAGTGCATTCCCAATGAATTAAAAAACATTGCCCTTTTTAGTTTATACTCTCACCATTGAGACACTAGATATCCAAGATATCTTTTGTTTCATAATGATGGCTATAATATTGCCCCCATTAAAAGAAGCACATGAAATCAATCAGTTCATTTGGTTTTAAAGTTTAGGTTTCGTTCAGGTGATGTTCGGCCATGTTCACGTGTGATGCTAACATTTTCAACCATGTTCACTGTTTCACCCAAAATATGGCAAAAATGATTTATTACTCCTACTTTCTGAAAAGCAAAGAATCATATTCATATAGCTCAACTTTATTTTTTCTGGGATGCACTGTAGAAGTTACTACATGTACTTGAACTCTATTTTATTTGTTTTTTGTTTTGTTAAGTGACATTGAGCATACAGAACAAAATATTTTTGATTGGTAGGCTCTAGTAAAAAAAAAAATTGTTGTCACTTGCTAAGGCTTCTATGAGGGTTGGTCAGAGACGGAGATACTTGTATGTTTTTATGACATGCGTCATGTATATTTATTCATGGGTGTAGTGTAAATAGCAAGCCATAAAGTGTAATATTGAGACCTTGTTTCTTATTTCCTGTTATTAAACTCTCTTATTTTTCTGAGCATCACATGATCAAATGGGCATTTCATCACATTGTCAAAAAAATACCCCCCCCCCCCCCAAAAAAAAAAAAGAAGAAGAAAGAAACAATATGGCTGTCTGTTTCTATGATGGGTTTGCCACATTAATATTGGGTCACATAAGTGGGGCAGTAAATCATAATTATTCAGCAAGTTTGTTTTTATACTTTAACATGCATGGCCATGTTCCTTTCAATGACTAAATCTGTGAATGATTAATAACTATAGTGCACATATAAACATCTTGGCAAAGTACATTAGTCATTTACAAATCTGTATTGTTTTCCTTTACAGACGCAAGAAACCAACAACAGGAGTTTGAATTCCTCGAGCGAAGCTTGTGAGGAAACTTCTACACGTAGCTCTCAAAGGTATGTTATCATTTGAATTCAGTGCATTATTAACTATTTCCATTATTGTTGTTTTCTTATTCATTTGCTCTTGTATTGTTCATGTCACCCCATCAGTATTTATAGATTGTGTTGTATAACCCTTTAGTTTCACTTTGAAGGCAAAACAGTTAATTTAGCATGGAAGCCTGACTATCTGTGTTTGTCCGTTGTTGTACCTTTCAACTTTCAGAGACCATCACACTCATCAATCAATGAAAACCAACAGGAAATTCTTTTGTTTCTGAAGGACGGGGATTTTGATCATAATTCATTTCCTTGTGACTTGTCAATAACATTTCTTTGTAAATGAATTGGTTATCGTTTTTCTTGAAATTCACATAATATCCTGGGTAAATTACAGGAAGTTTACTTTGTCAAAAACCGGACTTAATAGGGTTTATTTCAGTGACGGATGCAATCATGCAAGATAAAATGGCAAGTTGTTGTTTTCGTTATTGATTTAGGTTTTAATGTAGCCACATATCATCTGACTTAGCCCTTCATGTAGCTAAAGACAAGTAAAGTCAGTGAAACCACATTAGATTATTCATTTTCCAATAAAAAAAACAACTTCATTTAGAGATTAGTTAAAACATTGTAAACATATATTGTAAAAGGGTGTCAAACAGAACAAAGACAATTAAGATAAAGTTTATAATTACCAATAAAAGTATTTGAATTTATAGATCTAATGTCCATGCACACTGATCATGGTTTGTGTAATAAATTTGACCCTGGCTTCTTTTTCTCTGAAAGTGCTAAGAGCTAGTAGTTAAACTGTTACAAAGTTAGTTCACCTTGCATATTAAACTCTTTAGAAAGAAAACAAATATGTGTAGCCTTATTACACAAGCTGAGCTATTTATGTGAAAGCCTATATGTCTGGAGAGGACAAAAGTACAAATCATATTCAGTGCATTCATTGTGCATTTACAATGCATGAACAAGGACGGCTTGTTCTACCCCTATAGTTTAACCTACTAAGAATCCATTATCCAATTTGTTGCACAGACATACATGTAACCTCTGTGACCCTGTATAACATAGAATCAATGTATGGGCAGTCAATAGTCTGTACATATCTGATTACGCTTCTTTCACTGGAGCCGCTATTGATGGGGAGGACGAAAGGGCCCTCTTATAGGCCAAATAGGCCATCAATAGATTTTCACCTCAAATTCCTGCCAGAATGCGTCACTGAGGCTTAGCAAATCACTTGTATTGTGCCCAGGGAGCGTTTCAATAAAGTCAAAGGGGTGAAGGGGCCTTCTATTATGTAATCTGTGTACCTTTGAAGTGGTAGATTAGGGGGTATGGAGATTGTTAAAAGGACCAATTGCTACTTTTGGCCCTCTCCCCATTTCAACCCCCTTCCTTGAAATTTAAATTCGGCCACACAGTAAACCCTACATGGTATGTATCATTGAGATATATACTGTTTTTCTACCATGTTTTTACTATTCTTTTGATATGGTTCTTTTGTATGCATTTGTATGCATTTAACTCTTTGATGTTGTTGGTTGAATCAATATAGGGTTGCACTTCTAGCCCCTTTTAAATCTTCCAACAAATTCAACACATTTGTTTTCCAATGAACAAAGGAGATTTGCATCTTGGTTGAATAATTGTTGATATCTGGGCATTGACGCCAGCACTAAAATACAGTTCATGTACGCTTATACTTTATAGACTGTACTTTATCCATGTATTGTAAATGAGTCTAAACAGTTGGATTTGAGCAGGTTTAGAATTCTGAATCTTTCTGTGTGGTCAGAAAAAAACTGGAAAAGAAACCGGTTCACACATGGAGGAAGGTCAATGTGTCACGGCAGTCAATGTTCAACCAATTATTTAGGACAGCGGAAATGCACAGAGAGAGAGAGAGAGAGAAAAGAGAGGGGGGGGGGGGGGGTGGAAGATGGGAGTGGAAGGAGGGTGGGAGGGAGGGGAGAGAAGAGACGGAGAGAGAAAGAGAGAGTAAGAGAGAGTAGGCTTGTCATCATCAGCACAAGATTACCAAATAGCCAGCTATTCCTGATTTGGGAAATAAGCCCGAAGTTACAAATCGCGTCTACATCGGATCGAAATTTGAATCTCAAGCTCGAGATACTTTGCTCAGCGTTCGCGCATAGTGCGAGTCTTTGGGCTGGTGGAGACGCACCGGACAAATAATCGGGATATTTTGCAAATAGCCCAAGATATCTTGGGATGATTATCTCGACCAAATACATGTATCCCGCTAATTGCAACTTCAGGCTAATGAAGACGCAAATTAACTGGATAATTTGCGATCGGGATAGTTCAAATAGCGGAATATTTGGCAATCTCAAGCTGATGAAGACAGGTCTAGAGAGAGAAAGAGAGAGAGAGATAGAGCGAGAGAGAGAGAGAGACTGATTGCCATCTCTTGTACGATTAGCCAGGCATAGCTCCCTGAGTAATTCCCACTCCATGTAGACAACCAGACTGGCAGCTAGCTAGCCAGTAGACTTGACTTTATTGGACGAGTTTTATTTTCAGGCCAAAGGTACTGATGACTAGGAAGTCTTAATTAGATAGCAAGTGTCAACACGATGCGATGGCACTTTACATGAACACATGTTATATATGAACTGCACATAGCCGGAGTCTGTCAGACAGTATGTGCTTTATGACTGCTGCATTCTGTCACCTCTAACCTCATTTAATATTAAACACAATGTTGACAACAACTAGCATTAGACTAGTAAGCTGTTGTATAACACTTTGATAATGTTATCATCCCCCAAAAGTTAGTGTGGAGTCTTGCTTACATGTACACTGTACAATATGCCTGGTTTAATATATTTCTTCTGACCTACATGTTGGCTATATTTACATTTTTTTTGTGGCCATGTTGTATCACTTTAGCGTAGTTGGATGGTTACATCGGAAATGTTACACCAGACGGGGCTCAAGAGGAATCTGGCATAGTTGATAAATTTGTTCCTGCGATAAGACACAGATAGGGACTGGAAGGAAGTGAGCAATTATTTGATGCACCACCGCATAAAACAGAAGAGATATCTTGTTATGCTTCCAATTGTGTTTCTCATGTATCAAGTAACTCTTGACAAGGCTACCTATAACATTTTATGGAGATAGGAAGTTGTACATCCTTTTTTGCTTTGTTTGGAGGGTTTTTATTATCATGCATGTTGGTCTTATGATTGCTTGAAATTTAAGATGAAACTGATTACCGATAATTTGTTTCTTTTTAAAAATATCCTTAAAGTGATCCCTTCCAACAATTTTATTTTGTAATGCTGAGTCAATTTATGACTTTCAGATGTACATGTATATATGCATGATAAGTTTTGTATCCCACATTTGTATTGAAACAGTAGATATAGGGTCTATGGAAAAGAAGGATGCAAGAATGCATACTACTCACTATTAATACATGCATTGGTATAAGGTTTTATTTATATTTACGGGGGGGCTGTATGAATGAACAATTCCCATTCATACAAGAAGCAAGTGTCTCCATTTGAAAGGCAATGAAAGATGAAAACTAGGTCATCTTATATAGGCAACTTTTCAAGTATGATAAAACGACAACCCTTTTTATCAATAGGAGCTACAAACACTATTTGTGGGGCTCACAAAACTTTAATTATGAAAGGGAAATCATGCATAGAGCCTCTTATAATATTGTCCTGTTGTAGACACTGCTGGACATTAGTTACAATGGAGGCGACCGACAACCTGAGAGCAAGACTGTGTTTATTATCCTCCCCCGTTCACTGTTGCCAACTAATGACGCCTGGCCTGGCTGGCATGCAGACATGATGCTTGGAGTCAAGTCTCACATAAAGTGTTTGATGGAATGAATGGCGGGCAGGTCAGTCAGGCAGGCAGGCAGGCAGGAAGAAGGTTGCGGGACATACGGGCTTTCCTCCATGACCTTGGTGTTAGTCTTCAAGGTCAGACTAGATTGAACTTGGAAGTACAGGTACCTTCTGGCAAGCTGAAGGAAGCCGCCAATGAGTTACAATTCTTGTGATAATAGAAAAAGAAATCACTCATGATAATGAAGAGATTTGATAATCTAATTTCAGATATTTCTTTAAAATTTATTCTGCTCCTACTTTCGTCCCACCTTTCAAAAACTTGTCAGTGTCAGAGTTAACTCTATTTCCATTTTTGTTTGTTCCTTGATAAACAATTTAGACAAAAAAATTACTGATGAGACACACCATATTTCTATATGGCTTTCATAAGCGATTACAATAGTATTGCTTGTTTGAATGGATGGGGGAGGGGGGGGGGTAGTTATATTTGTAACGAGATCTCGAGTGGTAATGCATCAGAAGTAACCCTTCGTGAAGCAAGCTGACTTTGTAACGTGGGTCTGAAGTTATTCAGACTAGTTGTTGGGTATTGCCAGGAAAGTGATAAGAGAGGTCATCCAAGGTTTGTACAGGTCTACCTACCAATGATTTGATTGCTCTGTGAGCACTAGCTGCTCTGTAATACAGGATGCTGTCATGTTTACATTTCTATCCCCCAGATGTACTACCCAACTAGAATATGGCAAAAATTCCCACCGTTCGTTGAAATAGACCTTCTGGATTCTCGTTATTTTCTCTTTGTCTGTATTAATGATGATGCAATATTCGTTACTTGCTTTTTTATTAATGGGGATGTGTGCATTAGAAAGGTTATAGTGTTGAAATGCATCCGTTTGTGATGATGCAGTGTAGGTCTACTGTACATATAGATTTGTTAAAAATTATTGCAATTGAATTTTTAAGAGTGAAATTTGGGGCCCACATCTTCTGCTTCCTCATTGAATTAGGCTTTCAATTTAATAATTAGCACAATTCATAGAATGTAATCTAGTAGGTATTCTTTTAGAAAGTCAGAAATATTCTTGGGCAGTATTTGCCACATACAGTACATATGTACATGTATATACCATTTAAACTAAGGGTTGAATACACAGTAATTATTGAATT